CCCCCCCTTTTTTTTTCGTTTTTAGCTAAAACGTTAGTGCCATCATGATTCTGCATCAGATTCTGCGACTTTCTTCCATTTTTCGCTCTGCGGTTTCCATTCACTTGCGCAGAAACATAGGCCTCTCTGCTATTGTCTTTAATAAGACAAAAGAGCTCGATCCGGTTCAGAAGCTCTTCGTGGACAAGATCAGAGAATACAACACAAAGAGCAAGTAAGTGAAATAAATTGTTTTAAGGCTGATGACAAAAGGAGGGGGAAAATGTTGATTTTGACAAATGCTGAAATCTGCTAGCTTTGTAGGTTGGTCTCTAAGTGTTTAAGGTATGCTTTCCTGCAACACTAAACCATATGACTAAAAGCATATCCAGATGCTCCTTGAACTCTGACAGGCTTGGTGCCGTGACCGCTTTGCTGGGGAGCGTGTTCCAGTGACCGACTGCCCTCCACTACAGTCACAGGAGTTAGAGGAGAAAAGAAAAATGCATTTCAGATCAGCTGCATTCTTGCGTACTTGACAGAAAATGTCTAATTTTTCCTCCATAAAAAAAAAAAAAAGGAAAGAAGTAAAGCCGATGTCATTCTTTTTGGGGAGTTAAGGCACTTAAAATTAAGGGGTTTTGTGCACTACGTGAACATACCACTGTGTTAATTTTTACCCATCTGTATGCTCTGTAAAAAGAAAAAAAATAAGCCTCTTTTTTTTTGTCTGGGGAAAATGGCTGTTTTTCAGTCTTGTTGCCAGAAGCTCAATGGAAATTGTCTCCAAAAGCAATTGAGAATTAGTGGAACTGTGAGGCTCATTCCTCAAACATCTTAAGTTAATAAGCAGTTCATTCAAATGAAATCTTAGATTCTTGTAATGTTTGAATTAACTACTTAACAGGAAACTGTACTATAGTAATTCTGTGTAATTTATTCTTGGGAATTATTCTTGGGAAGGAAATAAGCTACTACTTAGTTCTACTGGAGGAAGATCTGTGTTTCCACACCTATAAATAGCCTGTGTAGGGAGGCATTTTTGGTGGCTTTACAACTCATAAGTGGTATCTGTGTTGGTACAACTGAGCTTTGGTAATCTAAAGAGTTGCTCTTTTAATTATTTTATATTTGTATCCCAAGAAATCCCTGAATGTATATGAATGCATGGCGCCCTGTCTCTTGGCTTTTTTGCTTGTTTAGTATTCAAAACACCTTCTCGTTGCAAGAACAGTTTAGCTTTACTAACCAAGATCACTATTTGAGAAATAGCAGAGGTGCAAATCACAATTTTGTTACGAAATCATGGAATGGTTTAGGTTGGAAGGGATCTTGATGCTATGGGCAGGGACATCTCCCACTAGACCAGGTTGCTCGCAGCCCCATCCAGCCTGGACTTGAGCAGCTCCAGGGATGGAGCTTCCACATCTTCTCTGGTCAACCTGGGCCAGTGTCTCACCACCCTCAGAGTGAATCATACCTGGAATGAGTGAAACGAAGAGCCCTGAAAGCCTGGATATTCAGTGTAGCTTTATGTCTCAAAAGGCTGCCTCTCTAGCTTGGATTTTCATCATTGATCGTAGAAAGCCTGTAATTTACCCTGAGAATCTTGTTTGTGTATAAGGTAAGTAGGCCCTACCTAAGATGTGTTGTATCTCGACTTCTGGAAATACTTTAAATGGTTTGCTTTAGTTGGTTGTCAAAAAATGTTTTTAATTCATAAATGGCTATGAAAATGTAGAACTTCCACATGAAATTTCAGAACTGAACTATTAATCAGAACTTCTAATGTTTTTTAGGCAAGCTGGAGGGCCAGTCGATACAGGCCCTGAATTTCAGAAAGAGATGAATGAATCCCTTGCTAGACTGCAGCGGGCGTATGGTGAAGGAGATCTAACCAAGTTCCCAGAATTTAAATTTGAGGGTGAGTTAAAAGTCTTACTGAATTTCTAATTGCAAGTAAGGATGTGTTCACTGTTTTACTTAATTCCCATTTAGTTTTTATTTGGACCATTAATTTCACATAAGATGCCCTCAGTGAGTATCTTTACTTTTGCACAGTTCACATCTGATTCCATCTGGCTCTTTTTTTTTTGATTAATTGCCTTTTCCAGTTGAGATGTGGACTTCCTTAGACTGATGCTTAACAAAACTTGCAGTCAGATCCAGCTATCCTAATTACCCTTCACAGGCCCTAAAGAAATAGCACAAATATAATAGAAATAGCCCAGGGCCTATTGTGAGATTTTTTTCTCATCCTCCCAAAGAGCTCAGGCAACTGGTTTTCAAATGATAGTCTGCTATGTCATCCATACTGCAATTTGTAAATTTTATTAGCTCATCTGGAAAGCCTACGATTTCAGAAAATGAACATAGAACTTACCTTTGTTGCTGCGGGTTACTTTGTGACTAAATTATATTAACTTTTTTCTTCAGTTGTTTGGATACCACTTCTGTTTAACTGCTCTAAGTTTGTGTTAGCATGTTTTCATATTGCCCAGATTGATTATAACAAGAAGAAAGCTTGTGATGATTGGTTTATCAAGAATGCAAAGAAACTGCACAGACTCTGTCTGCCTTAGGACATAAAGGCAACTTAATTTTTTTATGGACAAGCTCATTTCTCTAGTTCTTTGTTTCTTTTGCTTGCTTATGTAAGTACAGCTCAAAGTCTTCATTGCTCACAAGCAGTTTTAGCCTAAAATCAGGTTTTGGAGGGGTAAGCTGTCTTTCCTATAAGCTGCAGGCAGCTGGGATGCAGCAATCTTTTGAATGTTCCAGTGTATTTGGTTTAGGTGGCAAGGTTTTGGTAGCAGGGGGCTGCAGGGGTGGCCTCTATCAGGAGAGGCCAGGGGGTGTCCACACATTGGATGGAGCCAGTTCCATCGGGCTCCAAAATGGGCTCACTGTAGGACACAGCTGAGCCAGTCAGCGATACTGGTGGCGCCTCTGTGACAACATATTTAAAAAAGGATGAAAAAAGCTCTTTCTAGTCTCAACCTTCCTGTGGAAGGAAAGAGCAGGAGAGCGCGAGGCTTGGTGGGCATCTGGCAGCCAGCCCGGGGTCAAGCCACCTTAGTCAGTGATTTGTAATTCTGATCAGACTGACTGGAAATTCTGATTTAGATAAGGAACACACCTAAAAATGTTTTGGGGTTTGGTGGTACTTCAGTTGGATTAAGGAACAATTTGGTGTCAGGTTGTTACTGCTGCAAATGAAAACAGAGCATCTGTAAAGTAGGATCTATGGCGTTTCTAACACCCCACCCTACCCCCCATTTTAGGGGTGTGTTTTCTTTATATTCAGTTTTATTTCTATGTAATATGTGAAATAATATATATTAAAGTTTACAATTTTTTTTTTTTTGTAATGAAACAAAATTTGTGTGACCATAGGAACAGAACGGGGAGGAGTCTGTTCTTTTACCACTGTTGCCTATCCTTAATCTAATTTCAACAAGTTTTCAAAACTAAGTGGCTAGATGGGTAGAAACTTTTTTTTTTTTTGTCTTAATGAAGATTACTGTAAGCTGAGCATTACCTCTCAAATTCTTTGTAGCAAGGAGACCAGGCATTAATAGCCTACCTGTCAAAAGTCTTAACCCTTCTGAGTTTGTACCTTTGACATCAAGAACTCCTTCCTCAGTGTTTGTATGTGGAGAATATCTTTTGCTGAGTGCAGTTGAAATTGCGCACTCCATTCTGTTAATCAGCTATAAGACAACAGGAAAGAGCTTGGTTACTTGTTCTTATATCAGAGCTATATTGGAAATAACATTGCTGGATAACATGACACTATTCTGGTTGGCTTCTTCCTCTGCTGCCTTCTCCCCTATGCCAGGTTTTGCTAAAAGCTGTTTTGGCAGAACGTTACTAAGGCACGTGTCTGTCTTAGACCTTATGCCTATCTCCTCTAGGGTGGAAAAGACTTGTCTACAGTGTAGTTTATTCCGTAGTGCTGCCCACATCCAATCATACCCTGATACAAAGTAAGTGGTGGTGCACGCTGCAGTGTACAAGACCTTGCTTTAGCTTTCCAACTTAATGTTTGTTTTTTTTTTTTGTGCTGCAGTGTACAAGATCTTGCTTTAGGTTTCCAACTTAATGTTTATTTTTCTTTGAATAACAGATGAATTGTGGTGTTCAAGGCTGGAATAAGAAGAGACTAATATGACTTTTCTCTCTCTCCCATTCCTCCTTTAGAGCCCAACTTTGAGGAGACTCCAAAGTGATCTCTGGAGGTTGTACACCAAACGGCAGCGTACCTCAGTGGAGTTGCTGAACATGGCACAAGTTGTAACTTAATAAATGCAGTGTTTCAGTTTGATTTCAGAAGTGTGAATAAGTTCTTAACTGTATGGTGAACATAGTTAGCTGTGCGTGTCAACTCTAAGTAACTGAGGCATCTGAGTAGTGTTTTTGAATGTTAACTGTGGAACTCCTTTGCCAAGCTACGTTTTAGTGCTGAGAAATATAACACTGATCATGATGTACCAAGAAGGAACTATTTGTTTTTCTGAGTTTGTCACATCCAAAAATCTTCTGCAGAAAAAAACCCGTGAACCCTAAATCTGTAGCCAAGTCCTATGGTAGTGATGGACCTGCACAACCAAAAGCATAAGCATAAATACACTAATTTTACACTGCATCAAATAAACACACAAACGAACACGTAAGTGATGAAGTGTTACTCTTATGAAAGTAACAAAGTTGTTAATGAGGTTGTGAGATTTAAATTTTAGTAACTGAATTACTGACATAAACACTTCAGGTTCTGAGGAACTGTTTATTTGTGATGCTTCAACAGCTAGGGTCCAGATACTACAGCTTGAGTTGTTCTGGCATGATTTTTCTTCAGAATAAAATTACACATGCAGTCTACAGAGAGGGAGGTACACTTCCTTGTGGAAGAGAAGCTGTAGGCATTTTATATTAGACAATAAAACACTGATTGAGCCTCAATTACAGGAAGCTTTATTCTGTCAGGATACCGAGTATAAGTCTGCGTGACTACTTATGCGCTCACAGATGGCTTTGACAAACCTAACACAACATCAAAGTACTAATAAGTTGGAGTTGCAGAAGATTTTGAGCCCTTGATAATGCTGGAGACATAAGTAGTAGAAGCAGTGGTAGCAAGCTCATCTATGAAAGTTATTTGAATAGATTGTTCCAAGCTGTAAGAGTGAATCCTGTAGCGCTGCATGTATACATGAACAAAATGAGAAGTCTTCACACAAATTGCCTCGCATATTCAATTTAGTTCTATCTTTAAGTTAAGTTTTTGGGTGTTTTTTTTTTTTTTTAAAAAGCAATCACAGGTTGACTAGATCTAAACATTGGCAGTTTCTATTTTCAGCATGTAGTATGCGAAAACAATATTTACAGGGTAGAGGTCAAAAGATCCCTTCGATACTTTTGTATAACAAGTAGTCATTTGATGTCCCTCACAGAGGCTGAAATCTTCTAAATAACAAAGGACTTGGTGTGCTTGAAATCCTAAATGAAGCAAACAAGGTCATGTAAGTAATACTTCAAAGATTTTAACCAGATTAACATTTAGTGTATATTTCTGAAGAAACTAAGGCATTGAGATTGAAAATAAGCATGCCTGCTATTAGCGAACGTTGAAAGCGAAGTCTACAGAATGCTACACAGAATAGCAGTAATAACCTATTAAAAAAAATACAAGTATCAAGTGGCTCTGTTGAGCATCTGATCCATAAGTGCTTTACTATTGATAAACAGATACCACAGCTCTTCAAAGTTTGTTCCCTCCCACTCAGAGCAACCAGGTAGGTGGCCTCAGCAAGTTCCTTACATGCATACTAGGTGAAGGAATAAGTTTGTGCTGTTTAGGACACTCTGTTTTGGTCAAAGAAAAATGGGCAGCATTCAGCGAGCTTTTAAGGCTACTAATGTAGCCTTAAATTATAGATAGTGAAACAAAGTTGCTGCTAGTTGAAGCTTTAGTTGGCACTCCATTCCTTTTGCACCAATCTGAAAAGCTGGAGCAATGTACATGCTCTTACAGCCCGTGAGCCACCTCAGTGGGGGGGGGGGGAAGTAGTAAGTTTAGCTTCCATATTTAGTCAAGCCTTTTGATCCACGTTAATCTTAGAGGAATTAAGGCCCAGACTTTCTCTTGCTGCTACTTTGGACTGTGTCTGAGTTAGTTTCTTTGGTTAACCAATATGCGTGAACAAGGCAGAGCGGAAGACTTCACAAACAAAAAATGGCATAATTAAGTGGATGGTATAGAGATGAGATTGCCAGATAGTGTAAGGCTGTTACTATTTTAATTTATCTGATGGAGGGAAAGTAATAATGAAAAAGGGAAAGAAAAAGAATGAAAGAAGCTAATAGAACGGGGACATGTAGGAGGAAGTAGGTAAAAGAGAACCACTGCTTAGTACGGTAAAGAAAAAGATGGCAAAGTATGGAGCCAGGTGCTGTAGTTGCATGGCACTTGAAACTAAGTAATAGGAAGCTACAAATGCAAACAGAGATACGGTATCTCCAGGTATTGCTGGCGTATAAGGTTGGGGGGGCTGTGCAAAAACACCACAGAACTAAGGAATTCTGAAGACACCTAGAACTTTTTAAACACACTACCAAGTGCAAAATACTTGCCTTTTCACTCGTAGATTGATAGTTGGTCTTCTTTCTGTTAACAGAAAAGGAACATAGGTTAAACAGTGACTTCTCTGGTGTTAGCATTAACCCTCTGAGAACTTGATTTATGAATGTATTTTTCCTGATTTCCAACAATCCTTAAGAGTTTTTTGCCCCTCAGAAAAAGGTCACAATAACAAATCCATTGAATCCTTTTAGACAGCTGTCATTATCTCATTAACCACTTTCAAATTACCTTCCCTAGGCTTGTCTTTTCAATGCTTCCAGTTATGCTTTTCATCTAGTTCATAGCCAGTATAAACAGCATAGTATTTTAAAGTAATATTTGTATTTCTCTTTAGTACTTTTTTTTTTTTTACCTCCTATTACCTAGAAGCGCTGAGATAAACTTTTAAAAGAAAAAAAAAAAAAAAAGAGAAGTGAAGACTTGAGGGCAGCCTCCAATGAAGCACACAATTTTAGCCTTGTGGGGGACTTGAGGAATTCTGACTTGCTACTAAGAAATTTAAGTGCATGAAATAAATCCATATTAAAGGAGTAGACCAGACACCCTCATAAAGCCTCCACCTGTCATATTTTTACAAATATTTTCTGAAATAATCTGCAGACATGGCTATGAGGACAGTTCAATTTGGTTCTGAGTATTTTTTGTCCAGTTTGAAGAGAAGACAAATGCATGCCTGTAGCTGAGTTAGGAGTGTAAACCATAACTATATAAAAAGAGGTATCTCTGGACATTTATGACAGTAATAATCGTTAATTCATTTTCTGACCAATACACTGGTTCTAATAAGGGAACCAGCTGGTGTGTAGGATTGGGTTTATTTCAGTGCTCAAAAAAGCAACTGTACAAGAATCATGCGAGAAAGGCCTTAAACCACCCTCACAGTTACTAAATCATCAGAAATGTAAATTAAGTTTGTAGTGATTAGCGTACTACTTGCATCAAGATACTTACTGGGAAGAGCTTCCCTCTGAAAAAGAAAAAAAAAATTAGCACAAGAACAGTTTCCTTAGATAATTTAAAGTTCTTCAAAATAGTTTATGGCTTATTCAGCTCTTCAGTTTCTAGAAGGAGTTTCTGAACCAAATGTCTCTTTTTGGTGTAGCGAGTTTAAACAGAAAAAGATTAGGTTGCTCTCAAAGTTAAATGAACTTCCAAGTGAACATGAATTCTAACACAGCTCTGTTAGCCTTTTAATTTTAGGCAGCGGACCTTCTCAGACCCCGACACTTGGCATCCCTTCTTGCTGTCCTGAACTCTACAGGCACTAACGTAAACGGGCGTCGGGATTTTGTGCAGCGATCCTCAAACGCTCCGTGTGCACTTTCGCCACGACCCAGAAGAGGGAGCCAGTAATTTAGTTTCCCCTTCATCAGAACTCAGCCGTTCAGATCTTTCAGACTGCAAGTGAACCTGCACGGCTTGCTTTTATGGTGCCTTTCTTTGCCATCCCATCTCAAAACCAGAGCAGAGAGGCTCCTGGAACCAGGGTTCGGCTCGTAGCTTTCCCCAGATTGCTGTTTGGTAGCCTTACGCAACTGCACAAACATCTCCGTGTCGTTCTTTAAGTATCTCGTGCAGTAGAAGTTGGCAGAATAAAAAAGTCTACACAATAAAGCTGCTGTTGTAATACTCTTTAGCTTTAGTAGCATGGAGTTAGAGCCTTTATAAAAAGGAAGACATGTTACAGTCAGCAGAAGTACAGATTTTTTTTTTTTTTTTTGACACAAGGAAGGAGTGATTTTACTTTACTTACTTGAAAAGTAGCCCTTCTTTTGGGCATAAAATACTCCAAGGCCACACAATGCCATTACCAGAGCCACAAATACTACTGCAGCAATGATACCACTTACATTAAGGTCATCTGTAATTATAAAACATAAGTCCAATGTTATAAGTTGTAAAAATTTCCTTTGGCTGGATTTTTTTACCCTAATTACTACAGGCACCTTTTGTATCTATAGGTGGTCTTTGGCCCAAGCTACATAAGTTAATTAGTAACACGCAGATGTAGATAAGCAGTCCAAAAACTGCTTATCACAGCCACATTAACTGGAGTGTTCGATACACTTCAGCTGCTTCGTTCAGCTCAAAAGTAAGGAAAGAATAAGAGGAGTCAAGGGATACATACTCCTCATTTTACCTGTCCCCAATAAGTATTCTTCATGTCATATATGTCTCTAAGGAAAATACCTTGAAACCTTTAAAGTGTTTTCATACAGGTAGTTTGCCTAAAAATAACTGAAACAGCTGATGGCAATGTCAGGTCCCAGTACTGAAGAACTCTTCAGGAGAGTTATGTAAAATTAAATGCTTTTTTTTATTTTTAAATAGCAAAGCTTTTGAAATTCAACACAATAAAGGCCAACAAGTATTTTAGCCAGATGTCTAAAGTTAAACTCTAAATTGGGCTACTGAAACATCTAGTCATTTTTATTTTGAAGGTGATGACCCATGCCCATTTCCTGATACAACCACTAAGAGCTTCAGATAATCATCCATTTTAGGAAAAACAAAAACATCAACATGAAGAAACATTTTCGTAGATTTTTGTTATATATCCAATTATTCATTTGGATCCTGACTTTAAGCATAAGCACATCAATATATGGCTGGGAATTTTATCGCCAAATCTCTCCATTTTTGTGGATTGATTGACAGCGATTTAGGACTTTGACAAGTATTTGCACAACAG